GGCTGTAATCAGCAACATTTTTGCATGGCTAACATGCAAGATTCAAAAGGCAGTTGCAATGCAAACAGTGTTTCTGTTGGAGATCTTGATTACTGCAGGTCTAATTATGACTAATTTCATTTGAGGTTCAGATCCTGCACTGCTGCACATTCTCTAGAGACACGGGGATTCCACCACTATTTGGGAAATGAAACCTGAACACCCATGTGCTGTGTACTAGGAGACTGGGTGAGCGATTTGGTAATTCTTTTGATCTCCAGCTTATCTCACCTCCTTCACCATAGGCTTTTTTATGAATACACAGCATTTCATATAAAACCTTTAACTACTTGTTTACAGATATCATTGGAGGGGTTTGTAGTATTTGATGCATTTTTGCAAACTGATTTTAACAATTTACTAGTTCAGGCACAGAATCTGCTACATCCTTTACCTTTCCCATGGTGGGTATGCATATAAAAAGTGTAAAAATCTCAAAATGGTATTTTTTTTTTTAAAAAAGGAAGATTGTGATGAGTAGTCTGAAAGGCTGATTTTGAGAACATCAGTAAAGTCACATACCAATTATTGAACTGCAGCAGGCTGCATGAATGGGCAATGCTGTAGGTTAATGTTAGCAAGGAATGGTTTGATGGGTAATAGAATAGGTTATTTTAAAAAAGTGCCTGCCTTTCTATTTTCTACTGTGCATCCTTCAAAATGCAGGTCCCTCCCACTACTTTTTGGGATTTGCGTAAGAGATTAATTTAGTAGGTTGTGTTGCACTTGAACTAACGTGCAGTTGGCATCTTTTTCCAACATCCCCAATGCTGAATAGGATATTTAGAGTAGGAGGTAGAATCATAGAAAGTTAGGGTTGGAATAGACCTCAGGAGGTCATCTAGTCCAACCCCCTGCTCAAAGGAGGACCATTCCTAACTAGATCATCCCAGCCAAAGCTTTGTCTGGGCAGGTTTTGAAAGCCTTCAAGGATGGAGCTTCTACCACCTCTCTGGGTAACCTGTTCCAGTGTTTTACTACCATCCTAGTGAGAAAATTCTTCCTAATATCTAACCTAAATGCCATTAGCTGTCTTGTCAACAAGTGCACACTGGTGGTTCAGATCCAGGTTATTGTCCATTGTAACCGCCAGGTCCTTTTCTGCAGAGCTGCTGCCCAGCCAGTCGGCCCCAACTTGTACCAGCATGTGGGATTGTTCCGTCCAAAGTGCAGGACTTTGCACTTGTCCTTATTGAACCTCATAGATTTCTTATGGTCCAATCCTCTAGTTTCTCAATGTCACTCTGAATCCAAGCCCTACCCTCCAGCACATCTACTACTCCCCCCAGCTTGGTGTCATCTGCAAGCTTGCTGAAGGTGTACACTATACTATATTCCAGGTCATTGATGAAGATATTGAACAAAACCAGGCCCAAAACTAATCCCCAGGGCACTGCACTTCAGACCCATTGCAAACTAGACATTGAGCCATTTACTACTACCTGCCAAGACTGATGATACAGTCAGTTTTATCCACCTTACAGTCTGTTCATCAAACCCATACTGCCTTAGCTTGCCTGTGAGAATGTGGTGGGAGACTGTATCAAAAGCCTTGCTAAAAATCAAGGTATTATACCACATCCATTGGTTTCCCCACATTCACAGAGCCAATCATCTCATCCTACAAGGCAATCAGGTTGATCAGGCATGACTTGCCCTTGCTGAATCCATGCTGACTGTTCCTAATCACCTTCTTCTCCTCCAAGTGCTTAGCAATGGATTCCTTGAGGATCTGCTCCATGATTTTTCCAGTGACTGGGGCATGGCTGATTGGTCTGTAATTCCCTGGATCTTCCTTTTTTCGTTTCTTAAATAGGGGCACTATATTTCCCCTTTTCCAATCATCCGGGACCTCTCCCAATCACCAGGAGCTTTCAAAGATGATGGCTAGTAGCTCTGCAATCACATCAGCCAACTCCCTCAGCACCCTAAAGTGTACCCCATCTAGTCCTATGGACTTGTATATGTCAAGCTTTTCTAAATAGTCCCTAACCTGTTCTTTTGCCACACCATGTAGGAATCCATTTTTATTTGGCATTTTTCCTTGTGGATTGAGAAAAAGGCAACTCTGGCTCTGAAAGGGCAGGCTGTGCAGAAGCATGAGCAATATCCAAATAACAATAGAAATGAGTTTTATTTTGTAAAAAGATATAAAATGAATATTGTACAAAAATAAAGTCTGTAGAGAACTTTGGTTGATTAACACAAATGATTGAGACGTAAACTGTAGGTGAAGTAAAAGCCTCCGGAGAAGAAGCATACTCCTGTTTTCAGTAACTTATTAAAAAAAAAAAAAAAAAAAAATCACAAACTTTACCCTTTTGTGTTGTAAGTATAATGATTTTGCCACCATTACAGCCGTTTTACTATCCATGTAAAAAGATGCTTACGACAAGCTGTCAGCAATCAATGAAGCACCACTGCAAGTGATAACATACCTTGGATTTTCCATGTTGAAAACTAGGCTAAATCTAACCAGAAGTGCTGCTGAGTGTTGATTTTACACACAGCCCAGATTTTACTATGCCAGTTACAGCCATCAAAGCATCATCATCCCTTTCTAGATCAGACCCTGATCTAGTACACTGAAACACATGCTTAATGACTACAGTGAGATTACTCTAAGTGATTTGGTTTGCTGGAGTAAACTTCTCCAGCAGCTGATAGCATGTGGTGGACTACCACGGCCACTCCATGATGGAGGAATATGGCTGTGCCCACATACCATCGTCCACACGATTGTGTCTTCAATGAAGAAATATAAATGTAGGAATAAATTGACCTTTGATCAACACCGTGGGTTTTTTCCTGAGAATTCTGGGTACTTTTTCCTCATGGGCTGGGACCTCTCTCATTGCCTATTCCAGGGGAACAGAGTATACAGGGAGTACCACTGCTGGGGTTACATTTGAGATTCAGATCTCATTGTTCAGAAGAGTCTTTGGATGTTGTTTCTGTAGGACTTGATACTTCACTTCAGTTGTCAATTATATCAAATGTAATTACTGCTGTTCTTTAATAAATAATCCTCCAGCATCATAACTTGTACTAAGGGGATTTAATATATCGTCATTAGCACACATCCTCCTTCAATATAAAGTAGTATAAAAATTTTTTTTTTTTACTACGATAAAATACTGTGATGTTTCAAAAAATTATAAAAAGCTTTGCTTATTTAGCAAAATTGTTTACCTTGAGAGTATATTAAATCCAGGACTAGCTAATGAAAGTGGTTTAACCTTTTCTATATGGAAATATGGAAGGAAGAGCTTAAATAAATATAACATGAAATTAAAAAGATAAAATGTGATTAATCTCCATTTGTCAATCATAGCTAATAAAGGTTGGCTGGCAAAAGAGTGCGAGAGAAACTCCATAACTATAAATATTAATATAAATTAGTTTGCCTAACAAGTTGCTAATTGTGGCCCAGAGTCTGCAACCTTTGTATATGTAAAGTGTTACTAATGCAGGCAAGTATTAAATGTAGTTACTTGCAAAAGAGTTTTTAATAAGAAAGGCTGCAGACTTTGGATATTTTGAGCTTTTAAATCAGTATTTTGGTTTTGTTTTGTTTTTTTAAAGGTAAAGTAAGTGATTTTTTTGCTTTCAAGTTAACTGTTAATACTTCTAAAAGCATGGACCCTTGTCCCCATTGTTGTCTCTTTGTATCTTGTGAACACATTCCACTTTGGCACCTTTGCAAAGAAACTTTAATAAATAAGTAAAGGAAACTCATTACTAAACTGTAATAAATAACAATAACTTAAATCTCAATAAATATCTTCTGTATATTTATGTCTCTGAATGGATGCATTGCATCAAGTAGTCTTTGCTCACTCACAATGACCAAATAGAAAACGTAATTATGCAAGTGACATTAGTCCTTTGTAAACCAAAAGAAAAACGGTTTGCATTTGTAGGCAACCTTGATATTTCTCTTACTTTGCTAGGAGTAAGTACTTAAAAACACAACTTGTTCTCACAAATGAGCACAGAGGAGCTAAATCCAATGCTGGGCTGTTTTGAAGAAATGATGGAAACCCCCCCACCCCAAAGAAGAAAAAAAAAAACCCAACAAAAAACCAACCTTTAAGTGAGACTCTGTTGATTTACCATGGTGAACTTTTAGCTAATTAATTTTGATACTTGCCTGATTTACCTTACATATATAATTAAAATTTATCTTACACATTTGGGGGTAACCCCTTAGCACGCGACAGTACAATGGATCTTGGAATAGTTAATAATCTCTCTCACTGTAAGTGTTGCCTTAGGTTTTGCTACTAATCTCAATAAAAATATAAGAACAAAACATGATATTTAGTAGGGCTGTGCAAAGCTTTGGTCGCTGATTCGAATTGGAGGAGATTCAGCAGCCGAATCTCTGAATTGGAAGCCTCCAAATAGATTCAATGATTCAGCCATAGACACAGCTTCATATATTTTTTCTATGTACCTCGAGATACCAGGTGCAGCTTATGAATGCTGAGATGGTGGGGCAGATACAGTGTCCCACAGGAGCACAGAGGGTCCCCCGAGCACTTAGCGGCAGACCCAGAAGTGGACCAGAAGTATTTCCAGTTCACTTCTGGGTCTACTGTGGAGCATGCAGGGGACCCCCCAGCTCAGTGAGTGAGAGTGATCCCCCCTGTGCTCCCGTGGGATGCTCCATTCCCCCACCATCAGCATTCACACGCTGTACCTGGTACCTAGAAGCATGTAGAAAGAAAAAAAAATTATGTATATAAATATAAAAATATATATAAAAAAAGCTGTGTCTATGACTGAATTGCTGATTCTCTGAATCAGAGTTCAATCTTCAGATTTGGCCAGATTGAATTGGGACAGTGATCTGAATCAGTGAATCAAGTAACTGTCCCCCAAGTTGGGCTGAATCCGAATGGAATACCGCCCGCTTTGCACACCCCTAATATTTAGTAGGTTGTGTTTTTAAGCACATTCCTAACTGATCCAAATCATGATGATAGCGAAAGCAACCCTCAATCCATCCATTCTGGAACTCCACCCCTGAGCTTTGCTTTTTATTTGCTTTCCTGTAGGAATTTGAAGCCCCCATTTTTGTATCTAGTCCAGCTCTCTATGCCAGATTTTGCCCTACCAGGCTCCCATGACAACTGTTCTGCATTCTTGGTCCTCTTTTCTCCATTCTGAACAAACATTTCCTTGGGAACCTTGGTCCCTTTCTCTGCATTGTAGTAGGAATGCAACATTGTAAGTCTCCACAAAAATGTCAAACGCATCCACATTTTTTAGCGGAATGTTGTTTCAGTATATGGTACACCAGTTTATCATCCAAAAAGGAAAGGTCATCATCAAAGGCAGTGGGTCTGCAGCAAGCTTGCCTCACTTTGTCAGTGACCAGCTTTTTCTTCCTTGTTAAATTTTTTACAATTTGGTCATATGTAGTCTCAGCTGCTTCACAAGATCCACTGCAGTACCGGAAAATCAGCTCTTCTTTGGTTTCATATCCCAAATCCAAGTCAGTCACATTTAAATGTATTTCTGTTAAGACACATCCTCGGTTTTTGCCCTTTTGACCTTTCCGTCCTTTTCTGTGGGAATTCTCCGTGTTTACAGCTGCATTTTGCCGATTTCTTTCCCGTCTAGAAAAAATTGGAGTTTGTCTGTCTGGTGACCTCCTTAGTCTTTTTATAGTGGCTTGAATAAAGTCCACTACATCATCAAATTGATCTGGATAATCCTCTGGCATATTAGCTGTTTGAAAAAGTGAGAGAGAGAGAGAGAATATTTTATCAAATAGAAGTTGTGATTTTTGTTTCTCCTAGACATTTTAATTGGAGTAGATCCACTAGAACTTTGTCAGCATTGTTACTCAGCAAACGTTTCAAATTACGGAGAAACTATTCTTGTGTATTTCAGAAAATCCACAAAGCATGTTCAAAAACAGAGGAAAAAAGTTTGATACAACATAGAAGTCAGCAAATAGATGGACACTTTTTAAGAGAACAGTGATATGGACTCTTCCTGGCTTAGTATGGCTAGGGAGAACCCCTTGGCTATCACTAAATTAGAGTGGTTAACAATCTGTTCACAGTAATTAAAGATATCTACTGATAGGGTTTCAGGGTATGTTCCTGGAAAGCTAGCAGTGGTTAAGATGAGCTTAAGCCTGGTTTGTTGATCGAGTTCCTGTTTCTGTAGTAGTGCCTACTGGTCAGGCTGCTGGGAAAGCTCCTTGAAAATTCTGACAGAATAATCGAGTCAGAAGATGCCCATTTGACTAAATTAAATTGTTTTAATGAGGAGTATCGATGTCTCAAAAATTCACAAGAAATCATGAAAACATTTTCTTTTGATACGGTGGAATGATTTACTTTAATTTGTTACACATTTAAATTAAAATAATATTGTATAAAATGATAGTCAAAATGAAAAGTTTTGACTTTATACAAATGAAACATTTAAATCTTTCATTTCTACCTTTTATTAAAAAAGTAAATTCTGGTCTTTCAACTTTGCATCACAAATTAGAATGAAACTAAATTTCACAATGTTGAAATATCCCACAGGTTAGGTCATTCAATCAGAGTCCAGGACAACTAAATTCAATACTCTTTTAGAGAACAAAGCCATGTACAAGGTGAATGCCATAAACACAAGCCCTGTGCCCCTAGGTGTTTTCTATATCTGGTCATGGGCATAATCCATGGACATGAGTATGCCTACAAGACTGGACTCCACTGGTGAGAGAAGTGTTTCTCCACCAAGTCTGAGAATCTCACCTCTCAGACCTTGGAGAAACTCATTAGCTATATAGACTGGCATCAAAACTCAGGTGGCTTTGCAGATGACCAACATAAAATTTAGGTACATCGGGGGCCTACGCACCCAGAATTGGCAGAAGTTTTGAGTGCATCAGTGGGGCCTAAAATGGCAGTCTCAATCAGCTCACTAACTTTCAGGATTTGGGTTCCACTTCTTAAAAAACATTGATCTATCCATCTTTCACTGCCCACCATACTATCACCTTGGCCTAATGCTTGGGCAAAGTCTGCTCATGGATCAACAATTGGCTGAAGCGGAGCCAAAATAAGGCAGAAGCAATGCTTGTGGAAAGAGAAATCATTTTAAAATGTTTGCAACTATGAGACAGTCCTTGTACACACCTCTGGTTGGCCAGTTCAGTCCAGAGCTTAGGACTACTCTTGGATTCCTCACTGATGCCATCCTCTCCAAAATCACATGCTAGTAAAGTTTTCTGCCATCCTGAGTTGGCCGTGGACTTTGTCCCACCCTGGCACATAGTAGCTTAGGATTATCACTAATCTGTCACCAGGATTTGTCACTTCTTAGCTCATTTAAAAAAAGATACATGTCAACCAACTCAGAAAACTAAGTTGTTAACAAATCTGGGGACTGATATTTTTGAAAGATGCAATACAGGTGGCTCTACATCAAGCTATTTACAAACACAGAGGGAAGGTAAAAAGAACTGCAAGGGACCAGTGTGGGTTTACATGGATCTTTTCAGCCATTTGAAAAAAATCAAAGATGATGTATGGAAGGGCAGGGTGTCATTAATGAATACAAAACAAACATATAGGGACAAAAAAACAAAACAAAACAAAAACAACAAACCAGGAGAGCAAAGGTAAAAGATAGACACCTTGGCAAGAGATTAAGGATGACATGTAGAACAGGCTCCACAAATACTTTTGACAGAAACTGTGTCTACTGCTCAGTGGAGAAAGTGAATTATTGAATGGAAAAATCAAAGACCAGATGACTGGCAGAATTAATATAAAACAGAGGAGAAAGGGCTACAGAAGATGATGAGTAAAATAATAATAAAACAAAGATGTCAAAGAACTTTTGACAAATTTGAATGCATTTTTGCAAGCACAGTCTGATGCAATTTGTTTGAGCATGCTGAAGGAACTCTGAAGAAGTCTTAGAGCTACTGACAATAATATTTTCAAACTCATTCATGACAGAAGTTTTCTTCTCTTTAAAAAATGGGAAAGGGAAGACCCAGGAAATAGTAACTTTCCAGGTCAGGCTGATTAGCTTACCATAGCAAACTATAAAATATTTGATCTTTAAAACTCTGGAGGATGATGTTATGATCACTAGCAGCCAATGTGGATTTGTTAAGAATAAATCATGCCAAACCAATTTGAATTTCTCTCTCTGACAAGAAAATTGCTTTGGTGGATAAGGGGAATGTGGAAGACTTGAGTAAAGCCTTGAATACAGTCCCACATGCCTTTTTCATAAGCAAGCTTTAGAAATCTGGGCTATATACAATGAATGTTATGTAGATAAATAATTGGTTGAGTCAACACAATCAAAGGGTACCTGTTAAAAGGCAGGGTTTGAATTGTTTCGACTCTTGGGGTGGGAGGGGGTCTGCAAAAAAAATTGGGCTGCCTATCATAATGTCCTAATAAAAACTGAAGATCACTCCCAGGTTGATTTTCAATTCTTACAGGGGGAGCTCTTGTCTCTTACAGGGGGGCTCAGTCCCCCAAGCTCCCCAATAATTCAAACCCTGGTTAAAAGGTTCCTGTAGGGGTCAGTGTATGCTGTTGTTTGACATTGGTATTCGTGACTTGGGTTCAGAGATAGAAAGTGTACTGATCAAATTTTCAGGTGAAAATATCAGAAGAGTTTGTAAGACACCTTGGTGCATAGGATTAAAATTCAGAGGGAATGTGATAAATGTGAGAGCAGTAATAGCTAATGTTCGATTTAATAATGAAAAGGTTGAAATTGTAGTACATAGGAAAGAAAATAGCAGCACAAATACAGATGGGAAATAATAGGCTTAGGCAGTAGCATAAGCAAAAAGGATTTGGGGGTCATGGCAGATTCCACTCAACATGTTAGGTATGTAAGGCCGATGTAAGAAGCCCTAGACAGAGGCTGAATTAACAGCAGCACTGAATGAAAGACATGGAAAGTAAAAGTACCACTCTACTTGACATGTTAGGCCTCACTGGGAACAGTGTCCAGTTTTGGGCAATGGACTTTAAGAGGGAGGAAGAGAAATTGGAAAGATGATCTGAAGACAAGTGGACAAGGAAGATACAAGGGACAGGAAGCCATAGGAAGACAGGATGCAGAAGCTATATGCTGTATGTTTAGTTTGGAGAAAAAGAAATTAAGGCAGGACATGATAGCAGTTTTGAAGGGCTGCCATAAAGAAAACAAGTAATGGTTCTTCCTGCCATAGAGGAGAAGAGACAAGACACTGGGTTTAAGCTTCTGCAAAGCAGGTTTAGACCAAATCTTCTAACTGTGAGAACAGTAGGACTGTGTAACAAGCGGCCTAGAGAAGCCGGGGAATCTCCTCAATTGGAGGTTTCAAGACAAGGCTGGATAGGTATCTGTCTGAGGTGGCTTAGGAAGAGTCTGTCCTACATCTGTGCAGGGACTGGATTAAATGACTCAACTCTACAATAATATTCCTGGACATGAAGCCCTTAGCACTTATAAAACTCCAACTAGTACAGAATGCTGTGGCACACTCCTCAGCAATTCCGGCTACCATGAGCACATCAAATCCGTCTTCAACTCCGTGCTAGGTTTCCATGACAGCAAGGTAAAATTCAGTCTTTGACCTGCATCCCA